GCTTTAACTCTCTTGTAAGTCTTTGTCATGCATTTCCTTTTTACCCCCTTTCTTCACTCTCCACATTCCAAACTCCTCCAAAAAATATAGTTCATTGTTTGGGGTATTGAAGAATTTACCACTTTGCGGACCAGGCTCAGGGCTGCTCGTTGTGGGCTGCTGTGTTCTGAGTTCTCACCCCCTCTCCGTCCCTCCTCACAGTGGGTCGAAGAGACCGGGAAACTCCCTGAATGACACTGCTGAGTGCTCACTGTGCCCAAGACTCCTTCTTGGGTGTTTTGGGCTGCGCATTGCCCTCGCATCTTCCCCTCATTCCCTGCTGACAACGGAGTCCTTCTCTGAGTGCCGGACCCCCCCCCCCATTATTCCACTATGCGGCAAACTGGAAGTCTGGGTTCCCCATTTTATTCTGACCACCATCCTGTGAGGTAGCTTAGACAAAGAGACAGTGGCTGGCCAAAGGTCACTGATGGGAAGACATAGGAGCTGCTGCTGCCTTTTGTGTTGTTCCTCTCCCTGCTGGCTTACATGAGACACAAGTGAGACAGGTGACAGTGGAGTATCACCCAGCTTTTCAAAGAAATCTCATAAAAGGCAAGGTTCTGGAACCTGCGTGAGAAGCCGCAAAGATGCAGGAAGAGAGGTACAGGGAATGGAATGGGAAGGTATCTGAAGACTTTACAGACTACCGAGAGGAAACAGGACAAGGAAAGTGAATCGGAGACTCCGGGAAAGAAAAATAAATTTATGAGGGGTCCACTAGGGGGCGCATTGGAAGATGGCCGACAATACCATCTCTCCAACCCACACGGGGTAATTAATAATAATAATAATAATAATAATAATAATAATAACAATTTATTATTTGTACCCCGCCCATCTGGCTGGGTTTCCCCAGCCACTCTGGGCGGCTTCCATAGAAACAAAAAATACAGTAAAATATCACAGATTAAGAGGCTGTTATGGGAGTAGGCAGCCTCCCTTGTTGCCCCAAGGAAATGGGGAACACTGCCCTTGCCTGCTGTGCCCATAAATCACCCCCTAATTCGAAAGAAGGGGGTGAGGGCCCTAGGCAGAATGCCCCCATGTGGACCTCGGCTCTCCTGGACGCTGTCTCTGATTGCGCACTAGCTGCAGCAATTCGGAATAATTAATTACAAAAGAAGCAAATGCACATATTTCAAGTGAAGAAGGGGAGTGAAGTCTGCTAATTTAAGTGACCTCTGCGAAAGAAGACGACGGGTTGGAGAAACAGGAATATTTTACGATGAAGATACACCAAAGGCTGGGTATGTTGACAACGGGACTGAATGGGGGGGGGACCTTTTTTACTTTCCTTCTATGTGATTTACAAGAACCCCTCCTCATTAGAATCGTCGGTTGAACTGACCCAAGCAGGATGATTAAGGTGTGTGTGGAGATAAACTTTAACCAAAAGTATGCTTTATGCAGATCGAGAAGCAATAAGAGCTTTTGGGAATGGCGCAGCAATTAATTCGGAGTCGCCATCTTGCCAAAGGATTTATAGCCGGGAGGAAGAACGGACTTGTTTTTAGACTGCATTCCTAGTGAATCTCCTCAGAGGTTTTGAGAAAGGAGGCAGATTGGTGAAGATTAATGACGCTAAGACTGTTTTGATGTATGGAAGTGATGTTATATGGAAAACGTCTGGATATGGCTATTGGATAAAAATAATAATATCCACGCAGGATTACAAACTGTTCTAACCAGCTTGCGGAGACTATCAGAGGTCACAAAGAGAAAGGAAAAATATATGAAAATAACAACAAGAGATGTGGAAAAACAATAAGAAAGGACTGGATAGTACTGTGAACATCATAAGGTTAGATTTGTGGACATTAAAACAGCAGTAAGAAGCAAGAAGTTGATTGGATCCCCTTTGGAATTTGAAATATGGGTACCCCCAACAAAAATTTAAAATTCGGCTGTGTAATTTGGAATTTATGTAATTTGGTTTGATTTGATGTGATTGGTCCGTTAATAAAAAATTATTCTTAAAAAAAAAAGAAAAATAAATTTATGAGAGATAAAGGCACAGGGAAGTGTAAGGAAACAGGCCTGGGTTAGTAAGTGAACCAGGAGAAATATAAGGAGAAGTGCAAGGGTCAGGGAAGGAAACCACTGTGAGAGAAAACTTTTATAGATAGGAAGGACTCCATCATAGGAAACAGACTAGCTTACAGGTCTTGTGTTGAGAATAGTATCTAAGCCTAACTGGTCATGGTCTCATCAGGTGGTCTCTGGCAGGAAAAGACAATCTGGGACTCTGAGGATCCTGAGGACCTAAAGGACCACAATTCTGCCAGTCACCTAGTGAGCTTCATGGCAGAGTCCTCACTGAACCCTGGTCTCCTAGCTCCTCGTCCCACCTCCAAACCAATGCACCACTCTATTTGACCCCCAATAATGTAACTAACAGTCAGTGGCTTGTGTGTCAGACTAAGACTGAGGAGACACAGGTTTGAATCCTCACGCGGCCATCAAACTCATTGGGTGGCCTGGGCCCGTCTCTGCCACTCAGCCTAACCTACCTCACAAGGTTGTTGTGAAGATAAATGAGAAGGAGGGTTGACTAATGTTATTTCACCTTACTCTCCTTAAGAGGGAGGACAGGACTTTAAAAGTGTAAAGAATAAATGAGTTAAATGGCTGAAGCAAGTGCATAAAAACCCTACAATCCATTCACATATGAAAAAGCTTTGGAAATCAGCGCTAACCCATCTGGTATTCTCAGTGAAGCCATTTCTCTTCAAATTCAAAACCAAATATTCCTATTTGATGAGTCTGAAATGCTACTGTGAATGCTTAATGATTTCATTGCAACTCTTAAATGTATCTATTGTTGTCGGCAAGAGCTTTTTTCTTTTCTTTTTAAAAAAGCAGAAAAAGCAGAAGGGCCTCAGGATAGTGGGAGTGACTTTCAACATTGTTCATTGCAAGTATAATACAGCACACTATTGTTTTCTTGCATAAGGTTTTGTTTTCCATGAAGACAGTTTGTGTTAGGGAAACAAGGCCAAATATTAGCTATTAAAATATTCAGCAAAAATGCACTCACTCTTAAATTAATTTGTTTCATATTTAGGCATATCCTTCCTTTCTGCAACTATCACTACAATAATAATAATAATAATAATAATAATAATAATAATAATAATTTATTACTATGGTCGGAGACCAGTTTGTAAAACACATAATGGGACTGCGCTCCCAAAAGCAAAGCAGACATTTAAAACAATATACAGCAATGGCTTACATGTTTAAAAATGCACTAAACACCTAAACACATAAAATCTGTGGGGAAAACTACCATTGAAAATTGGCCCAGAGTCACCCATGGGTCTGAGTATGGGGGTTTTCTTGAGGGTCTAATTTGTATTGGGGGGTGGCCTGCTTCTACAGATCTGCAGACAGAATCTGGCAACTATCCGGGTCGTCTTATGATCTTTACCTAAAAGGAGAAGATCAAATTTGTGTTTTTCCGGGAGGTCAGCAAGCCTCTTCAGCAAGTGGTCGATAGTATCTCTATGTGCCTCATTATAGAAAGGACATCTAAAAAATAGATGTTCGGGGCTTCCTATATCCCCCTACGGGCAGGCACAAAGTCTCTGGGCATATGGGACTTTTTTGAAGGATCCTTCCAGGACCAGAGTCGAGCTTTTGGCAAGTGTAAAGGTCCTTCTTGCATTTTTGGATACAAGAAAGTAGATATATGCTGCTGGTGCAGCAACATATCTCTCGGTTTCGAGAATTTTGTAGCCGGGGCACCTTAGGCAGTCCTCTTGTCTCTTAGTGTCTATGATTATTTGCCTAACCATAGCCCAGGCTTAAAAGGGCTTGAGAGGCAAAGCCCAGTTTCTGAAGTGTGTTCAGGACTGCTGTCTGCTCGCCTGACTGGAACTGGTCACAAAGGATCAGCGGAGCTATACCATGGGGGAGCAGTTTCAGTGCCAGCCATTTATATATTGACGTTAGGCTGATATGAGCCTCAACTCTCATCATCCCTGTTTCTAGTCTGAACCATGCATTTGAGACACATCTGGGGACATGTAGAAGGGCTCTAAGAAGTTAGGATTGACCTCTCTCAAGGGGGGAGAAAGAAGAGGATGGCGGGCCCAGAAAGGATCCACAAAGGAGCTATGCCAACGTTTTGGCCTTATATAATTTTAATGCCGCGGGGACGAAAAAGCCCCCTTGGGTTCTGAAAAAATTAAGGATACAATTTACAGTCGCCCCCCCCCCCCCGGAGCTCCCGATGGAGTTTATGTGTAGTTTGTTGGATCCTGAAGCCTGGACCACCATACCTAAATACTTATAGTTCAAGATTTGTTCTAGTTTATGGCCTTGGAGTTCCCAGCTTCTAAGCTTCGTTTTCCCCCCAAAAGTGAGGATCTTGGTCTTTTGCACTACCTTTATAAGCATGGGCCTATTACAGAATGGTAAGATCTACATCTTAAGCAATACAGTAATCTAGAATATTTACTTTTGAGCTAGGAACATAGGAGACTGCCTTATACCAAGTGGGATTCGTCAGACTCAGTGTTGTTTATACTGACCGGTAGTAGGGACGCAGGTGGTGCTGTGGTCTAAACCACTGTACCTTTTGGGCTTCCTGATCAGAACGTCGGCAGTTCAAATCCCTGCAATAGAGTGAGCTCCCGTTGCTCTGTCCCAGCTCCTGCCAACCTAGCAGTTTGAAAGCACGCCAGTGCAAGTAGATAAATAGGTACCGCTGCGGCGGGAAGGTAAATGGCATTTTTGTGTGCTCTGGTTTCCATCACGGTGTTTCATTGCGCCAGAAGCGGTTTAGTCATGCTGGCCACATGACAAAAGCCAGCTCCCTTGGCCTGAAGCAAGATGAGTGCCGCAACCCCATAGTCACCTTTGACTGGACTTAACCATCCAGGTGTCCTTTACCTTTTTATACCGACCCGCAGTGGTTCTCCAGGGTTTCATACATGGAACTCTCCCAGCCTACCTGGAGATGCCAAGGACAGAACTTGGGACTATCTGCACGCAGAGCAGATGCTCTGCCACTGAACAACAGTCTTCCTCGAACATTCGCAGAAGAAGACAGTATTATAATCACATCCAGAATGAAGACTTAACCAAAAGCTCCCGGGTGCAAGCCAGGGCAGTGCGCATGGAGGTCCTGGGATGCCAAGACCATTCCCCCCTCTTGGTCTCACTGATGTGGTCCAAAGGAAAGCAGAGCAATACATTTGCACCAGCTGGGCTGTAGGAGTTGCCAGAAGCAGGCATAAAAAGGTAAAGGTAAAGGGACCCCTGACCGTAGGTCCAGTCGTGACCGACTCTGGGGTTGCAGCACTCATCTTGCTTTATTGGCCGAGGGAGCCGGCGTACAGCTTCTGGGTCATGTGGCCAGCATGACTCAGCCGCTTCTGGCGAACCAGAGCAGCGCACGGAAACGCCGTTTACCTTCCCGCCGGAGCGGTACTTATTTATCTACTTGCACTTTGACGTGCTTTCGAACTGCTAGGTTGGCAGGAGCTGGGACCGAGCACCGGGAGCTCACCCCGTCGCGGGGATTCGAACCGCTGACCTTCTGATTGGCAAGTCCTAGGCTCTGTGATTTAACCCACAGCGCCACCTGCGTCCCTTGCAGCTGGGCTGCAGGAGTTGCCAGAAGCAGGCATACAAGGTGCTAAATTGGCTACGCTCACTGGGTTTAGGCAGCCAGTCAAAACGGTTCCACATTTTTTGTATAGTAACTGTTTACTCTTAATCAGACCTCTTAATGCTGCAACTCTAGAGAAACTGGTGTACTGTGTCAAGCGCTTTTTAAAAAAATGGACAGGGATTTCAATAGAAGCATTTTTCCCGAACTCCAAAGTATAGACATTATCACAATCTTGTTTACAGACTACATGGAATTTTAAACCTTTGATCCTAGGCCACCTTCTTTTTAAACTAGTAAAATATGCATGCATACGAATCACTCTATGTGCAATCTTAAGATATGCATATCTACTCAGAGATTAAGTCCCATTGTAAAGTTGTGATACTAAAGTCACTTTCCTAGGAGTAACACCAACTGAGCAGTGGGGCTTATATTTGAGATTGGGCTGCAAGTACCTGCAAGTGAAGCAAACATCCTTTAAAAAAACGTACTTTAATTTAAGTGAAGGAAAATGATGCTTTGAGTGATGACTGATGGGGATGCAACAGAAGTGGCCAAAATACAAATATATACACAAGGATGGACTCACCATGTAAATTACATGCTCATGAAAACAATACATAGGCTGAAGCCGATAGCTGACTGATTATTAGATAAAGATGCTGCATACCCAGGCAACTATCTGATTTCAGTAAACAAGCATCATATGTTCGATTTTTTACCAAATGGAGTTTTCAAAGGGAAGGCAATAAGCCTGAGCTTAATGCTTGTTCTTGTCCGGACACTCAGTACAATATGAAAAATATTGATTGGCTAGATGAACTATTTTCCGAGCCAGAGTGGCATAATGGACCTTCATTCAGCTTGTTCTTAATGAGATTTGCCTGCACTTAGACCACCGTTGACTCTATTTTCTCCCTCCACAGCAGTCATATCTATTTCTCTATCTATCCGAAGAAAGCTAAGAAAATCCCTCCTCCCCACTAAATCCACATTTATTATCAAAGGATCGGCAGGCTCTTGAGTCTATGGGGGAAGAAGTGGTGAGACAAATTTCACACAGAAATGTTGTTTCTTCGTAATTCTTTGGATTGATCCATTTCTGCTTCCACCCAATCATAAATGAAGCTGTGTATGTGTTATTGGAGCTGAGCTGAAATTTCTCAGAAGATGTCTGAGATGTTTATCTTCTTCCCCATCTCACCCCTGGAAAGCAAGTCCACTTATTTATACCAGGAGTGTACAAAACCCGACTCTCCAGTTGCTACAGGAGTGTATGGGATGTTAGGGGAAGGGGAGTACCTGGGCTCCTTCTTGGGTAGTTTCTCTACCTTTGGTCCCCCACCCTCCATTCAGCTCTCACCTGTGGCTCCTAGAAGCTGTAAGCACGAGACAGCTCCCACACTGTGGGAACAGCATCTTAAAAAGCAGAGACATCTCCTTGCCAACAAAGGTCTGTATAGTTAAAGCTATGGTTTTCCCAGAAGTGATGTATGGAAGTGAGAGCTGGACCATAAAGAAGGCTGATCGCCGAAGAATTGATGCTTTTGAATTATGGTGCTGGAGGAGACTCTTGAGAGTCCCATGGACTGCCAGAAGATCAAACCTATCCATTCTGAAGGAAATCAGCCCTGAGTGCTCACTGGAAGGACAGATCCTGAAGCTAAGGCTCCAATACTTTGGCCACCTCATGAGAAGAGAGGACTCCCTGGAAAAGACCCTGATGTTGGGAAAGATGGAGGGCACAAGGAGAAGGGGACAACAGAGGACGAGATGGTTGGACAGTGTTCTTGAAGCTACCAGCATGAGTTTGACCAAACTGCCGAGGCAGTGGAAGACAGGAGTGCCTGGCGTGCTCTGGTCCATGGGGTCACGAAGAGTTGGACACGCCTAAATGACTAAACAACTACAAAACCAGGTGAGAGTAGTTGATGGCTCTCAAACCCTCAGTGAGTTAGGGACTTCCCCTGCATGTGAAGACAGGCTCTGATGGATTGAGCAGACAATCTGACAGTGGGTCCAAGGGTCAAGAAGGCATTTTCTACAGGTGCTGCAGAGGGAAAGGAGGGGCAGATGGAGTTTGTCAATCTGGGAAGGTTGCCCATATAGGAGAATGAAAACTCTGATCCTAAACCTCCGCTGCCTTGTGGGATACCTTCAGCAGCAGGAAAGCGCTAATGAGTAAACCCTACACAAAACCAGGGCAGAGTGCTTAAGGTAGTTGCATGATGCCTTGTACACCTCCTTCTGGCAACTCCTGCAGCCCAACTGGTGCCAAATGTATTGCTCTGCTTTCCTCTGGGGAGGTCTTGTCACCTGGGCAGCCCTATACTCTATGTACACTGCCCAGGCTCGTATCCCAGGCAACATCAGTTTGACTTCACCCTCAGAGGCACACTCAATTGTCTCTTGAGACAGATAGATCCCAACAACCACCATTTCCTACAGAGAGTCTACCTTGTTTCCCCATACTCTCAGATATCCATGGAGCACCCCAACTTTTCCAAACAACTTCTGCACATGAGGAATTCTAGGTACATAGGCAGCTTCCAGATCAGATCATCAGATCATCTAGCTCGGCATAGTCTGTGCTCGTAGTGGGCAGACTTTGAGCTTGTTTGAATTACTTCACTTTTTCTTAGATTCCCAAGATCAACCAACCAGAGTCAGGTGCAAAGCACATATAGTTAGCTGTGATGGCCTGGGATTCAGATTTGGATGCTGAACCTGAGGAATCCCAGCCTGCACAGGAGTCCCTGCCTCCAGAAACAGCTGAGCCGGGGCTGGGGCATGAGCCTGAAGGGTCCTCACCTCTGCTGGATCCTCAGGTGGAGGCACCAGCTGAGTCTGCTCTGGCTCCTGAGGGGGTGGAGGACCCATTGCCTGCAGGTACTCCACTCTCAGCCCCGTCAGGGGAAGCTGAGGTTGCCTCTGGGTCCAGTAACCCTCCAGCCTCTCCTGAGCTGCAGAGGCTCAGGGCAGAGAGGTGGAGGGAACTAATTTCCCACAGGAGGAGTGCTCGCCTCCAACCTAGGAGAGGCAAGTCACCTGAGGATCAGGGCTGCCCTAATGCCACGGGGCAGATAAAAGCCAGCCAGCCCCAGTCCCAGGTTGCGGGAGCAACGTCGTTGGTTGTCAGTTCCAGTCTGAACCCTGTCCTGCTATCCTGCCGGAGCTCCTGACCTCACCCGACTACCTGCCCTGCATCCAGCTTCAACTTTTATGGACTGCCTCCACCTTTGACCTTGGACTGGACTCAGACCTCGCCTCTTGGTTAGCCCACGGGACCAGCACAGTTAGCATTAGGGGAATTCAAAAACGGAGTTTCTCTGACTGCATTCTGAGCCTAGGGATTTCTATCCAGTTTCATAGTTCAACTGAGCCCACAGTCCTTTAATGCAGTCCTCCCAGCAGGTGAGTCACTGCTACTTACAGGGAGGGGCTGGACGGCAGTGAGGTTGGTGTGGTGCAAATGAACCAGCTGAGCCAATCCGGCACTCCTGCTGGTTCATTTGCACTGCACTGCCCTCCCTGCTGCCTCACCCCTCAAAGTAAGCATCAGTGACTCACCCACCAGGAGGTCAGATTTGCATCTCCACCCCACCATGCTGTCCACTGCTGCATGCTGTTTGCATACTAACTAGCTGTGGACGTGGGTGGCGCTGTGGTCTTAACCTCTGAGCTTCTTGGGCTTGCTGATCAGAAGGTCAGCAGTTCGAACGCCGTGACGGGGTGAGCTCCTGTTGCCCTGTCCCAGCTCCTGACAACCTAGAAATTTGAAAGCATGCCAGTGCAAGTAGATAAATAGGTACCACTGTGGTGGGAAGGTAAACTGTGTTTCCATGTGCTCTGGCTTCCGTCACTGTTTTCCATTGTGCCAGAAGTGGTTTAGTCATGCTGGCTACATGACCAGTAAAGCTGTCTGTGGACAAGCGCCGACTCCCTTGACCTGAAAGCGAGATGAGCGCTGCAACCCCATAGTCGCCTTTGTCTGGACTTAACCGTCCAGGGGTCCTTTACCTTTACCTTACTAACTAGCCATGCCAGTTGTGGTTGAGAGGATGCAATAAGCATCTTTCCCCCTCTCTACCTAGCTTGTGTATATAAATTCAATAAATATAACAACAGCAACAGCAACAGCTTGTGCAAGTGTTTGTGCACCAATAACAATGGTATAGAATTGGACATAAGGAAGGGTCAAGAAAATTGCCTATGCCAATGGATGCACAATATCTACAGTTATTGGGTTATTTATGGCATCCTTCATTTGCGGGGGAGTGTGCTCAACTCCCCAAGTCGTAATGTTCCTGCAAAGTCAGCAAGTATAACAAGGCATAGCTATTGTTTAGTTTGCTGGTTTAAAGAGAAGAAGAGCAAATCTGTGAGAGAGAACTCACTTATCCTAAGACTACAATTCAACCGCTAGAGTTTACTTTCTTCCCAGGCACACACCAACAGCTGAGGTAAGCAGTTGAATAAGTCTTACAGTGGAATCCCAGCCACATCTACTTGGAAGTAATTCCTAATTGAAGTGGATGATGCTTACTCTCAGGTAAGCAGGGTTAGGATTGCAGCCTAAGCCACATACTATCAGAGTCTCTACATAGAAGCCCACTGTTCATGTTGAGAACTTTGATTCTCTACTATTTCCAAATTGCGATGCAGAGAATCGCCTTTCTTCACTGGTGGGTTATGAAATATTTTGGCACAGTTTCATTCTGGTTAAATTTGATCTCACTCCATAATCACATTTTATACTCCCATCTGTTCTATGAGAACCCTAAAATGAGAGAACTTTCAGGGAAGTAATATTTTTGAACTACTCTTTTAAAAACAAACGGATACACAGCAGGGTTTCAGAAGAAAATAGATTATGTTCTCACCGGGGTACTCATATGACCACAGGAATGTTTGGAATAATTGGGCAACCAACATTCCAAGCAGACAACCTTTCTTTTGGGGCATTAGCTACCCCAGAAGCAAAGCATTATTTATTGATACTGTTTATTAAATTTATATCATACCTTTCTCTCAAAGGAGCCAGAGTGGCAAACACACCAGGGATAAAGCAATGCAATAAAAACATCTGCAAACAATCAACAATGAAAATCGTTAAAGACAACTGAGGGAGATACAGACACACTCAACTGCTTCACCAGCAGAGAAACAGAATTTTCAGCATCCAAATTGTGCCTAGGTGATGGGTGACAGGCAATCTCAAAAAGTAGTTGTGCGGTTTTAAGCCTTTTAAATGAAATCTACTTCATGTGTAGAATAATATTCAAGTAACAGAAATCTATATTTTCTTGAGATCGGGGAGATGAAAATGACCTCTCATCAACAAATTAGGAAACAAGGCTCTTGAAAGATACCCTACCAAAATTAACTGGAGCAGATCAGTTGTGCAGTTTTGTTTCCCAGCCATGAGCAATAATTTGAAACTCAGGTTGCCCATTCAAAGCTCAGCATATGAAAATGCATTCAATATGATCCGGGTATTTTTATGCATCCAGTTTCCATTTGCAGTATGCTATGTGTTTTGGAGGTTTAAGACTGCCGAAACAGGCAGTCTTGCTAAAACACTCTTAAGTGACACAATAGCCAGTTATCAACGGCTTACATTCATCCTCACTCTAATGTGCGCTGTTCCTTTATTTTTAAAAGAAGTCACAGCAACTGACAGGCATAAGAGTTTCATATATGTATGTATGCAGGTGTGATAAGGATTTATACCTTGCCTTTCAATCAAAATTCCCAGCGTGGCTATGGCTGTGACCCAGTGAATCCTGGGTCATTAGCTATCGGCGCGTCATTGTTCATGCATTTAATTCTCTGACATTTCTCTCTCAGGCAGTACAAACCACAAAGGATAAAGAAAAGTCTTTCCTTCTGGGCCCAGAAGATTAAAAACGTTCTTTACTAAATGGACACATTTGGTATTCTCAGTACAGGAAATAACCCAGAAGCTGTAACTGCCATCCACTTGTAGGTAATACAAGAAAGGTTTACTGGAAAGCAAATGAAGCCACAGGAAAATGCAACAGACCACTTGGGCAGCTCGGCTACAAAAGTCCTTTCTATTTATTGTGCGTGTGTGCTTAAAATAAAAATAAAAAAATTATGCCATTAAGAACTTGAGTTTGAAAATCCTGGGAGGGGGCAGCTTCAAAATGCATTGCAGAAAAGGGGAGATTATCCAGCACCCTTGAACCACAATACCTGCCCAAAATGCTGGCTTCATTATTGAGGGACCCAAGTTCTGATCAGTATTATTCATGACTGAGGATGCCTTCCTCTGGAAGCCCATGAAAACAAGATTTAACATTTTAAAAATGCTGATTTGTGTGTGTGTGTGTGGAAATAATTTTTATTTGATTTTACCAATACAAAATTATTTTTTTAAAAAAACCCAGATATATATCCAGATACAGAGATCTCAGGATCCCACCCCCCCCCGCATGGAGTCCAAGTTTAAACATTTAAAATACACAATAAAACAAAAGGAAAACAAAACCAATACCCCCCCTCCCGCAATCCCACAAACACATTTAAAAGGCCGTAAAATGTAAATCAGTTGGCAGGCCTATCTCATCCGCTGCCATCTTGGCATGGGTAGGGGCTGGGGGGCTACCTCTTTCTTCCAGGAGGAAGAGGGAGCCCACCTGCCCCCATGCGAGCTGAAGAGGGGGATTGATCATCTGAGAAGCAGGAGGCTTAAGGACACGGGTGACGCTGTGGTCTAAACCACTGAGCCTCTTGGGTCTGCCGATTGGAAGGCCAGAGGTTCAAATCCCCATGACAGGGTGAGCTCCCATCGCTCTGTCCCAGCTCCTGCCAACCTAGCAGTTCAAAAGCACACCAGTACAAGTAGATAAATACCACTGTGGCGGGAAAGTAAACGGCATTTCCATGCACTCTGGTTTCCATTGCACCAGAAGCGATTTAGTTATGCTGGCCACATGATCCAGAAAGATGTCTGTGGACAAAGCACTGCAACCCCATAGTTGCCTTTGACTGGACATAACTACCCAAGGGTCCTTTACCCACTTTTTTTTTTACCTTAAGGAAGCCCACTTCTCAGCTGATCAAGCCAGTGTGGTGTAGCGGTTAAGAGCAGTAGTCTCGTAATCTGGTGAACCAGGTTCACGTCTCTGCTCCTCCACATGCAGCTGCTGGGTGACCACTTCTCTGAAGTCTCTCAGCCTCACTCAGCCTCACTCACCTCACTGAGTGTTTGTTGTGGGGGAGGAAGGGAAAGGAGAATGTTAGCCGCTTTGAGACTCCTTAAAGGGAAAGGGTAAAGGGACCCCTGACCATTAGGTCCAGTCGTGAACGACTCTGGGGTTGCTGCTCTCATCTCGCTTTACTGGCCAAGGGAGAAGGCGTACAGCTTCCGGGTCATGTGGCCAGCATGACTAAGCCGCTTCTGGCGAACCAGAGCAGTGCATGGAAACGCCGTTTACCTTCCCGCCAGAGTGGTACCTATTTATCTACTTGCACTTTGATGTGCTTTCAAACTGCTAGGTTGGCAGGAGCTGGGGCAGAGCAATGGGAGCTCACCCCATCGTGGGGATTCGAACCGCCAACCTTCTGATTGGCAAGCCCTAGACTCAGTGGTTTAGACCACAGCGCCACCCGCATCCCTCTTGAGACTTCTTAGGGTAGTGATAAAGCGGGATATCAAATCTAAACTCTTCTTCTCTTCTTCAAGCCTCCAGCTCACACAAGCTGGAGTAGAGACTTTGGCACCTGCTAACTGTGGTGTGGGCAGCTGCGCTCTCCTCAGTGGAGCAGTTTAAAGAAGCTGCCTACCCATGCAGTCCCTATGTGGTATGAGGGCCACAATGTGCTGGAGGCTTCACCCAGCGTTTTTCATAGATGAGGCAGCCGCCACTCCAGAGTCCCTCTGCTACCTGGTTCTCTTCCACCCCAATCCCTTTTCTTGTTATTTCATTTAGGTTTGTGCACACCCACACATTTAAAGTACATTTATAGCATGTAACTTCCCCCAAAGCCTTCTGGGAACTGTCGTTGGTTGGGGCTATGGGAATTGTAGCTCTCTGGTAAATGACAGTATCTAGGATTCTTGGGGGGGGGGAATTACATGCTTTAAATGTATAGTGTGTACACACTATTGCTGATTGTGGCAAGCCATTTTGGTAGCATTTGATAGTTGAATAGCAGGATATAAATAAATATTGGATAATATTCTTGACTTTTCCATGTAACGTTGCACGAGGCACACTGGTACATCTTAAGATTATACCTTTTTATGGTATCTCCTTTATTATGTATAAGATGCACAGAGTGTGTGGGGGGGGAATCGCAATAAATTTGGTCACAGGACTATGGAGCCACCTACTGGTCTTCCACAGCTGCTCTTCTCAGGAATGCTGATTTGCTTGTAGCGTATCCTGCCTAGATCTTCCTGGCTTGGATACTTTTGTTTGCATTTTCTTCATTCCGCACATCGGAAATCAAAATCGGCTCTTTTCTTGAAGCTCTGGCTACAGAGACTTTTATGTTGCAATCCTCTGCCTGCTTACCTGAATTATATTTACTTCTGAGTAGACACATATGCCCATAC